TGAAAACAACTAGGGGAACTACACAGGCCAGTTTTCCAAGGAGGGATGTATTAGAGAATGCATTGTTAGACAGGAATGCATTGGTAATAATCCTATTGTGTAAAACTGTGTGAAATACAGTTCTAATGGACATGTGGTCACACACTTGCCAATGATTAAGTGGGTGGTGATGCATATCTTAAGCGACAGGCTGAAAAGGCTGAGTCATGAGTCATGTGACATTCAAGATGAGGATTGCATCATCTTGATATAAAAGGATATAAAAGAAGGCAGGAAACCCTTGTGCTTTCTCTTGCTGTACGCCTCTTGCTTGGGTGTCTGTTTGCCTACGTCATGAGTATCACTGGATATGCCATTGACTGATTGGGGATCAGGGGATCCTAATCTGTGTTTATATTTGAATATAGAGCAACATGTCAGGATTAAAAGCCTCCTGTGCGTTTGGATGAAAGCTGAATCAGAGAGTTTATCTAAACAGTGAGCAGCATAACATTAGACGGTGCAGTTATACTCTGCCAACAACTGATAAGCAGCCTGCTGTGTATGTGGCGACTTTTCTGCTTTGTCTCTGAGGAATTCAGTCCACTGCACAGCATATCCAGGCAGGGTGTGCTTGAGGAAACAATAAATCTTGCACCTATCCCGCCTCGACAGGATGAAGAAGACGTGGAGAAATATCCAAAGGGCTCATTCTCATAAGAGTGGTTGGATTAAGACCTCAGAGAAGAAGATTATAGAACAACAGTATCTAAGGCAGTGGTTCCCAACATTTTTTTGATCAGGGACCTCTTGACCACAGACCTCTTGACCAGACACCACTTTGACCAGGGACTGCTGTGACCAGACACCACTTGACCAGGGACTGCTCGACTAGGGACCACTCAACCAGAGATCACTTTGACCAGGGACTACTTTGAACAGGGGCCACTCCACCAGGGACCACTTTGACCAGGGACCACTTGACCAGGGACCGCTCAACCAGGGACTGCTTGACCAGGGACCACTTTGACCAGGGACAACGTTGACCAGGAACCACTTGGACCAAGGACCACTTGGACCAGGGACTACTTGGACCAGGGACCACTTGGACCAGGGACCACTTGGACCAGGGACCACTTGGACCAGGGACCACTTGGACCAGGGACCACTTGGACCAGGGACTACTTGGACCAGGGACCACTTGGACCAGGGACCACTTGGACCAGGGACTACTTGGACCAGGGACCACTTGGACCAGGGACCACTTGGACCAGGGACTACTTGGACCAGGGACTACTTGGACCCTGGGACCACTTGGACCAGGGACCGCTCGACCAGGGACCACTTGGACCAGGGACCACTTGGACCAGGGGCCACTTGGACCAGGGACCACTTGGACCAGGGACCCTTTGACCAGGGACCGCTCGACCAGGGACCACTTGGACCAGGGACCACTTGGACCAGGGACTACTTGGACCAGGGACCATGTTGACCAGGGACCCTTTGACCAGGGACCGCACAACCAGGGACCACTTAGACCAGGGACCACTTTGACCAGGGACCTCTCTCCAACATTAGTACCAAAAGGGTTGCAAATCATTTTTTGGTCAACTTTAGATTGGGTTTGGTTATTTGGGATTCAGAAAATTGCATTGGACAGACCACATCAGCTCTAGTTTCTGATCCAGAACATATGCCACCCAGTAGTCGACATCTGCTTGCCCACAGAAAACCATATTTAATAATTTAGAGCTGATGTAGTAGTAGTCATCTTCCATGGGTCGTCAGCGTCTCCCTTCCCGACATCCCTGTTGTCATGGCACTAGAAGAGGGTTTCACAAGGCTGGTCGCTCTCATTGCCACATGGCTTTGAGGCAACGGTGCATTGGTGAGGCTGTGGAGTTTGGAAACTTGATCTAAGGAAACTGTCTTCTTGTCTCCACAAACTCCTCCTAAAGCCAACATAAGAGAATCTAATTCTATTGTCGAAGGCTTTCATGGCCGGAATCACTGCGTTGTTGTAGGTTTTTCTGGGCTAGTTCCAACAGACCGCACTACCTCTGAGGATGCTTGCCATAGATGCAGGCGAAACGTCAGGAGAGAATGCCTCAAGACCATGGCCACATAGCCCGAAACAACCCAGTGATTCCGACCATGGAAGCCTTCGAAAATACATTAAACAAGGACATCTAATCACCTCTCAACAAAAGTTTGCTCCAGGCACTGTCAGGCCATTATATGCTAATCAAGGTGGTCAGTTGAAACATCCACACCTAGTTCCAGCAGACAAGAGTCCTTTGTCCCACCCTGGACATTATTCCACAGATATATAAACCCTTTTTCCTAGTTCCAACAGACCTCACTACCTCTGAGGATGCTTGCCATAGATGCAGGCAAAACGTCAGGAGATAATGCCTCTAGAACATGGCCACATAGCCCGGAAAAACCTACAAAACCCAAATCTAATTCTGTCTTTGTTCTCTCCATCCACCCCTGCCTTTATCTTTCGCATGGGATCTGGGTGAGAAAAGAGATGGCACAAATTATCTGACGCATGGATGGAGGTGGCATCTTCCACATGGCTGGGCACCAATGACAGCACGAGAGGAAGCCATGGCAGTTCCAGCAAATGGCACATCCTTGTGTGCTTTCCCTCCCCATTCCCTCCGATCTGTCTAGCAACACCCCCGCTTTCACCCAGACCCTCTGGGGTCTCTTTCAGGGTGGGAATGTTCTCTCACCTTCCTCCACTTCTCTCGGCTGGGAGGACGTTGACCCGGCGGGATGGTGCCTTTGGAGGAGCAGCAAGCAAAAGGCTTTCAGCAGCGGGTGGGACTGGCTGACCTCGATCTTCAAATAGTAACAATAGGTGCGGTAGCCTGGAAGGAAGAGATTTAAAAGCAGAACACGATAAGGACACGTAAAAGGCAAACGGCCCGTGCAGAAGGGCACGCATGCCGCAAAAGGCGTGCGCCAAGGGAGGACAAAAGGAACAAAGGGAAGGGATTCTCTGTGAAAACAACAACAACCCTAAAGCTCAGGAAAGTCACTTCTGGAGTTCATTCTGGGGATGAATGCCGTTTGGCAACACTCCATGCTACGTCTCGATGCTGTGGAGTTGCATTTTGCACATTCTTTACCCACCTCATAAGGTTTACAAATGGTTTATTTTCAATAGAATCATAGAATCAAAGAGTTGGAAGAGACCTCCTGGGTCATCCAGTCCAACCCCACTCTACCAAGAAGCAGGAATATTGCATTAAAATCACACCTGGCAGATGGCCACCCAGCCTCTGCTTCATAATAATAATAATAATAATAATAATAATAATAATAATAGAATCAAAGAGTTGGAAGAGCCCTCATGGGCCATCATCCAGTCCAACCCCATTCTGCCAAGAATCAGCACTATTGCATTCAAATCACCCCTGACAGATGGCCATCCAGCCTCTGTTTAAAAGCTTCCAAAGAAGGAGCCTCCACCACACTCCAGGGCAGAGAGTTCCACTACTGAACGGCTCTCACAGTCAGGAAGTTCTTCCTCATGTTCAGGTGGAATCTCCTCTCTTGTTTGAAGCCATTGTTCCATTGCGTCCTAGTCTCCAAGGAAGCAGAAAGGAAGCTTGCTCCCTCCTCCTCCCTGTGGCTTCCTCTCACATATTTATTACACATGGCTATCATGTCTCCTCTCATCCTTCTCTTCTTCAGGCTAAACATGCCCAGCTCCTTAAGCCGCTCCTCATAGGGCTTGTTCTCCACACCCTTGATCTCCCTCCTCCCTGTGGCTTCCTCTCACATATTTATACATGGCTATCATATCTCCTCTCAGCCTTCTCTTCTTCAGTCTAAACATGCCCAGCTCCTTAAGCCGCTCCTCATAGGGCTTGTTCTCCAGTCCCTTGATCATTGGAGTCGCCCTCCTCTGGACACATTCCAGCTTGTCAATCTCTCTCTTCAATTGTGGTGCCCAGAATTGGACACAATATTCCAGGTGTGGTCTAACCAAGGCGGAATAGAGCATGGGGAGCAGGACTTCCCTCAGTCTAGACACTAGGCTCCTCTTGATGCAGGCCAACATCCCATTGGCCTTTTTTTGCCACCACGTCACATTCCTGGCTCATGTTCCCCTTCCTCCCCACGAGGACTCCAAGATCTTTTCCACACGTCCTGCTCTCGAGCCAGGCCTCATCGTCCCCCATTCTGTCTCTTTGCATTTCGTTTTTCCTGCCAAAGTGGAGTATCTTGCATTTGTCCCTGTTGAACTTCATTTTGTTAGTTTTGGCCATCTCTCTAATCTGTCAAGATCCCTTTGAGTCCTGCTCCTGTCCTCTGGAGTCTTGGCTCTCCCTCCCAATTTGGTGTCATCTGCAAACTTGATGATCCTGCCTTCTAGCCCTTCATCTAAGTCATTAATAAAGATGTTGAACAGGACCGGGCCCAGGACGGAACCCTGCGGCACTCCACTTGTCACTTCTTTCCAAGATGAAGAGGAAGCACTGGTGAGCACGGAACTGGACCGGCAGCTTGTGGAGCTGACATAACAGAGGGGTGCTGTGCTCCCTGTATGATGCTCCAGTGAGTAATCTCGTTGCCACCCGTTGGACTAGTTGGAGTTTCCGAGCAGTCTTCAAAGGCAGCCCCATGTAGAGAGCATTGCAGTAATCTATTCAGGATGTAACAAGAGCGTGGACCACCATCGCCAGGTTTGTATAGCTTTGACCCATGGCGGTTGAGATGGTATCGAACTGTATTCATTTCTACAGTGTAGATCAGGCATGGGCCAACTTGGGCTCTCCAGGTGTTTTTGTTGTAACTCAGCGTGTGTCTTCAGTACCTACTAGTGCTAGTAGGAGGAAACGAGGCTTGGAAGAGCAAGACGCTCAGCAACAGCTGAAGCGCATTAGGGACATATTCCTTGAGACTACTGATGAGGAGGATTTTCAGGGGTTTACTCGTGAGGAGATGGAAACAGAGGATTACCGTGGTGTAAAGCGAGTAGCACGCAGTTCTGATAGCGATGAGGAATCTATTTCCAAGCGTCTTAGAGACATCGAAGATTGCTATGAGTCTGACAGTGAGAATGAAGAGCTGGACTGGACTAGGGTTCAGGAAGTCCAGGATGTGCTTAATGCTCCAACTTCCAGTGGTGAGTTCCAAGGGTTCACAGACTCATGGGTTTCAGATACTGCTTCGCAGGATGCAGTCCGAAGTGCAGACTGGCAGCAATGGAGAAGTCGTGATTCACCTGTGGAAATGGATGCACCTGGAAGCGAATCTAGTGATTCTGATGAGATTTAAGGAGTAGCTTTGGAGCAGTCTAGTTGCAGAGTTCAAAGTGTCGTGTACCCGTGTATCCTGCTCTTAACTCTTGCCTTGAGTCTTTGCATTCAGAACCGTGTCTTCGTGATCGTGCTGACTACCTTGCCTGGATTTGGAACCGTGAGTCTTGTCTCCTGCCCTGACCCTGGAACGTCTTGACCACTCTACGCTTCTGCCTGCCCTCTATCTGGACCTCGGACCGCTCCTCATGCTGCTGCTTGTATTTGGACTTCTGAACTGACTGTGTTTTGTTGCTGACTTCAAGCCTTTTTGCCTGCTTAATTCCTGCTTTCCTTTTCGCAGCGCTGACTGCCTGGACTCCTGTTTGTTTACATTCCTGCAAGCCGCAGGCTCCTTTTGTGTTTTTGCTCTGCTGATAAGAGCCCTTTTGACTTGTTAATTACCATTAAACACCCTTGTTTAACTCTTAAGCAGCCGTTTTGCCTCGTTGCTCTGCCTGGGTCTTGACAGTTTTGGACTTCAACTCCCACCATTCCTAACAGCCTCAGGCTCTTTCCTTTTCCCCCTCAGCCGCTTAAGCATTATGTAAGCAAAGTTTCACTATCTGAACAGAATCCAGTGGTCATACTGAATTCTAGAAGCCATAGTCCTCATAGCAGTGGTCCTCAACTTATGGAGGTCCCCAGGTGTTTTGGCCTACAACTCCCAGAAATCCCGGCTGGTTTACTGTCTGTTAGGATTTCTGGGATTGAAGGCCAAAACATCTGGGGAGGGACCCACAGGTTGAGAACTATTCTCATAGGGTTTGTTCTCTAAAGTTTCTATCATCCTCTGGATGTTCTCCAGCATGTTGAGTAGATACTCTCACCTTGAAGCAGAGCATAGGATGCAAGAGGAAAGGGAAGGAAGGAAGGAAGGAAGCCAGGCAGGTCGGGAAGGGATTGGCTGGCTCCGCGGTCACTCACCTGGATCAAAGACCTCGACCCCATGGCCCAGAAGGCTCACGTCCAGGCGACAGAAGTGGACGACGTTGTAAAGCGCAGACACCACCAGCCTCCAGCCCCCGGCCAAGACCCCCACCAGCACGTTGATGGGGAAGAGCAGGAAGGTCACCACGTACAAAGCCCGTCTGCAGAGCGGGAAGAGAAGCAGCGCTCAAACCACGTCAGTCACCACTTGCTTGCTTGCCTCATTACACTACCTAACAACATTTGGGAAAAAATTCTGTTCCTGGCTAGAAATTATTTTTAAATTTTAAATTAAAATTTAAAAATAATGCTGGAAATGGTCGAAAAAAGTGATGGGGCCTTTGTGGAAACATACGAGCAGACCTAAAACAATATGAAGTGCTTTGGAGGACAAAGTGCTAAGGGATCCTTATTCTGGGAAGGCACACTGGAACAACCACGTCTTCAAGCTCCTCCTAAAGACTGCCAAGGTTGGGGCCTGTCTGATGTCCTTAGGGAGTTAGTTCCAGAGTCGAGGGGCCACCACCGAAAAGGCCCTCTCCCTCGTCCCCACCAATCGCGCCTGCGATGCAGGTGCGTAGGGCCTCTCCAGGTGAACAAAGAGATCGTGTGGGTTCATACATGTAGGTAGGCAGGTCCCAAACCGTTCAGGGCTTTGTAGGTAAGCACCTGCACCTTGAATTGGGTCCAGAAAATGAATGGCAGCCAATGGAGCTCCTTAAACAGGAGGGTTGGCCACTCCCTGTAAGGTGCACCAGTTAACAACCTGGTCACTGACCGCTGGACCAGTTGGAATTTCCGGGCCGTCTTCAAGGGCAGCCCCACGTAGAGTGCATTACAGTAGTCCAATCTAGAGGTGACTAAGGCATGGACCACCCTGGCCAGATCAGCCTTCACAAGGTACGGTTGCAGTTGGCGCAAGAGTCTTAGTTGTGCAAAGGCCCTCCCGGACACCGCCGACACCTGAGCCTCAAGCGTAAGTGATGAGTCCAGGAGGACACCCAAACTGTGGACCTGTGGCTTCAGGGGGAGTTGCCACCCTATACCCCGGTCCGGTTTACGATTGACCAGGAGGACCTCTGTCTTGTTGGGATTGATCTTCAGCCTGTTCCTCCTCACCCAGAGAGCCACAGCGGCCAGGCACTTGTCCAGCACCTGAGAGGTCTCCTTGGAGTTAGGTGGAAAAGAGTAGTAGAGTTGTGTGTCATCTGCGTAGAGGTGGCATCCAACTCCAAAACTCCAGATGACCTCTCCCAGTGGTTTCATGTAGATGTTAAACAGAATGGAACCTTGCGGGACCCCACAGGTCAAAGGCCAGAGGTCCAAGCAGGCATCTCCCAGCTTCACCATCTGGGATCAACCCTCCAGGAAGGACCAGAGCCACAACAGAGCCATACCTCCAAGACCCATCCCGGAGAGGCGTCCCAGAAGGATACCATGATAGATGGTATCGAAAGCCACTGAGATGTCCAAGAGAACCAACAGAGTCACACTCCCCCTGTCCAGCTCCCTACGGAGATCATCCACCAAGGCGACCAAGGCTGTCTCGGTGCCATGGCCAGGCCTGAAGCCAGATTGTGACTGGTCCAGATAGTTGATGTCATCCAGGAAGACCTGGAGCTGAGAGCCGACCACCTGCTCCAACACCTTGCCCCACAAAAGGGCAAAATGAAAGCCACCAGAGAAGCCTCCCTAGTGGCCATCACCCATAAGGATGAATGTCTTACCTGTTGTTCAGCTCCTTAGGTAGACAGTTGCGGTCAAGGAAGGAATACTGAGCCAAGAGGTTCTGGACAATCACAGCCACCACCAAAGTCAACCAGAAAGGCCTGAAGAAGGAGGAGAAGACAAAGAAGAAGAGACAAGAAGCAACTGGGTTGGCTCTATGATTAATCCAGACTCCAAACTTGGAGTAGTTGTTCTTAAGGTCAACAACGTCCAGAATTCCTATCAAGCATGGACATCAGCTGTGGTGGGAATAGAGCATGTTGGATAACCCAGAAAATATTGAAGTCTATGGAGATGATGGTGGGACCATAGAATGGGAGGAGAGAGTTAACCCAAAGCAGGGAACGGGGAACCTTTTAGATCAGGAGTGGATCCACTACATTAGATGCTTGAAAGTAGGGGTCCTCAACCTTCCTAATGCCACGACCCCTTTCATGTTGTGGTGACCCCCAACCATCACATTATTTTTGTTGCTACTTCATAACTGTAATTTTACTACTGTTATAAATTGAAATGTAAATATCTGATATGGAGATGTATTTTCATTCACTGGACTAAATTTGGCACAGGTACCTGACACACCTAAATTTGAATACTGGTGGGGTTGATTTTGTCATTTGGGAGTTGTAGTTGCTGGGATTTATAGTTCTCCTACAATCAAAGAGCATTCTGAACTCCACCAATGAAAGAATTCAATCAAACTTGGCACACAGAACTCCCATGACCAAGAGAAAATAATGGAAGGGTCTGGTGGGCAATGACCTTGGGTTTTGCCGTTGTAGTTCACCTACATCTAGAGAGCACTTGTCATTTGGGAGTTGTAGTTGCTGGGATTTATAGTTCACCTATAATCATAGTGCATTTTGAACTCCACCAACTAAAGAATTCAACCAAACTTGGCACACAGAACTCCCATGACATTGACCTTGAGTTTTGGAGTTGTAGTTGACCTACATCTAGAGAGCACTTGGACTCAAACAGTGATGGATCTGGACCAAGCCTGGCACAAATACTCAATATGTCCACATATGAACACTGGTGGAGTTTGAGGAAAATAGACCTTGTCATTTGAGAGTTGTAGTTGCTGGGATGTGTAGTTCACCTACAATCATGGCACATTCTGAACTCCACCAATGATAGAATTGAACCAAACTTGGCACACAGAACTCCCATGACGAACAGAAAATACTGGAAGGGTTTGGTGGGCATTGCTCTTGAGTTTTGGAGTTGTAGTTCACCTACATCCAGAGAGCACTGTGGACTCAAACAGTGATGGATCTGGTCCAAACCAGATCCTTGCTCTAAATCCACATGGATTTCAATCAACCCTTTTATCTATAGTTTCAATTTGGGATAATATTATTCCCCTTTAACGTTTCAGCAAGCCCCCGCAGAAAAGCCCCTCTTACCACATATTTTCCACAATTTTGAAGAGGTGGACGTTGGTGCCGGACTGTAAGGGGATGGCCACCAGGAACGTGAAGGCCACGGTGGAGACGAAGAAGACAATGTGCTGGATGAGGAGGCCTAGGACGGGAAGGGAAGGACACATCAGGCAGCTGACCCGAGGATGGGGATAACTGGAAATACGGTCAGCCCTTCATATTGGCGGGTTTGACTTTTGAGGATTTGATTATTCACGAATTGGATTAAATAAATAGTAATAGGCACCTGATTCAATCTGAGAAATCAGCCAGAGCAGAGCACCTGAGGAACCAACCTGGACATAGCATATATTTGAGAACACAGAAATGCTGGACCACTCTCACAACCACCATGTCAGGCTACACAGAGAAGCCATTGAAATACACAAGAAGCATGTGGACAATGTCAACAGAAAGGAGGAAACCATGAAGATGAACAAAATCTGGCTATCAGTATTAAAAAAAACTCTAAAATTACAACAGCACAACAACAGAGAGGAAACAAACAAGGACATCTAATCACCTCTCAACAAAGGATTGCTCCAGGCACTGCCAGGCCATCAAATGCTAATCAAAGTGGTCAGTTGAAACATTCACCCCTAGCTCCATCAGACAAGAGTCCTTTGTCCCACCCTGGTCATTCCACAGATATATAAACCCTTTTTCCTAGTTCCAACAGACCTCACTACCTCTGAGGATGCTTGCCATAGATGCAGGCGAAACGTCAGGAGAAAATGCCTCTAGAACATGGCCATAGAGCCCAGAAAAACCTACAACAACAATCAGGCACATCTAATCACCTCTCAACATAAGATTCCCCCAGGCACAGTCAGGCCATCCAATGCTAATCAAGGTGGTCAGTTGAAGCATTCCCACCTAGCTCCAGCAGACAAGAGTCCTTTGCCCTACCCTGGTCATTCCACAAATATATAAACCCTTTTCCTAGTTCCAACAGACCTCACTACCTCTGAGGAAATCAGGACAGCAAATAAAGAGCAACACTCTGAAAACAGGGGAATTCCAGACAGGAAATAATCAGGGCAAACTAATACCTCTAAACAAAAGATTTCCCCAGGCAGCAACCAGCTAGGCTTTGAAGCTGAATGACAATTAAATCCTAATCAAGGTGGCCAATTGCAACGTTCACGCTTGCCTCCAACAGACAGTTCTTTCTTTCTCCCACCCTGGACGTTATTCCACAGACATATCAACCCCCCTTGCCTAGTTTCTAACAGACCTCACAACCTCTGAGGATGCCTAAGAGATGTCAGGATTTCATTTAGTTATGTTTGTGTTCTAAATGTGCTTCTATGTATTTCCAAGATGGATTCCACTGTGTTTTAGAAATGCTGCGCAGAATGTTCATACCATGAGGCTGTGATTAAGTAACCTTGAGAGAAGTAAGAGAACATTCGCTCTTGCTGGGAACAGAAGGGAGTCGTCAGTCTCAGCAAGAGAGAAGTTAAGCACGTGAGGAAGGACTTCCTGACTGTGAGAGCCGTTCAGCAGTGGAACTCTCTGCCCCAGAGGGAGTGTGGTGGAGGCTCCTTCTTTGGAAGCTTTGAAACAGAGGCTGGATGGACATCTGTGGGGGGTGATTTGAATGCAATATTCCTGCTTCTTGGCAGAATGGGGTTGGACTGGATGATGGCCCAGGAGGTCTCTTCCTATTCTTTGATTCTAGGATTCTATGATTCTATGTAAAGAGACTTTCGTTTTGACTAGTTCCTGGATTGTAGCTCGCTGTAGTAAGACGTGTCTATTGAATGTGCTTAGTAAACTTAGTTTCTTTTGTAACTCAAAGCCTGTGGAGTCCTTATTTTGCAACACAGTGTCTGCTGATCTAGCAATCCTTCTGCTGTGCACCGCCAAACTCTGGGTGAAATGTCAGGAGAGAATGCTTCTGGAACAGTTTTTTATACCGTGTTATTGTACCATTGAATTTTTGCTGTTCTTGTTGTGAACCGCTGTGAGTCGCCTAAGGGCTGAGAACAGCGGTATACAAATAAAGTAAATAATAATAAATAATAAATAATAATAATAATAATAATAATAATAATAATAATAATAAATAACACGGCCATACAAACTGGAAAACTCACCGCAACCCAGAATGAATGCTGTCTGGCACCATTTTGACCGCTATGTCTCAATGGCTGGGAGTTGTAGTGTTGGGGTTCAGCCTGCGCGTGAACCTGAAACTGATTCTCTGGTTGTATTTCCTGATGCAACTGAACAGGCTACTGAACATGAATTTGTCCCTGATGCTTTGGAAATTGTTGATTCTGAAGGCAGTGGCTTGGAAAGTGAAACTACGCATCCTGATGGGAATGTTTCTGAATCAAGCGGTGATAGCTCTCCAGAGGAGCTAGCACCTGCCTTTTTAAATGAGGATAGAAAAGGACAGATTTGGAAAAACAGGAGTGAATCGCAGAGTCTGCGAAGGTCAAGCAGATTAAAGGAAAGGGAGGCACAGGCTTCAAAGCCTGGAGGCGTGTCCCGAAACAGTTTCTTTAGTTTTAAGTGTCTCTCCCCGGGCTCTCTCGTTAGATCAAGCATCGTTTAGACTGAGGCATTACCTTGGCAGATTTCCCGGTTCCCATGGCCTGCATTCCCAGAGGCTTCTAGTTTCCAAGTACGGTTAGTGAGATGCTAACAGGTTCCAGGTTTTTTATAGTGTTGCTTTTGGAATTTTGATCTAGTTCATAGATATTCCTGACTGTTGAATTTTACTTTTGGACTTTGTATTTTCCTCTATTTTGTAACCATTTTTCATCAATAAAAAAAGATTGTTTTTTCCTACAGTCAAGTTTGGTGGATTAATATCTTATGGTCTTGTTCCCTGATCTGGGTTGCAACATGTAGTTTGACGAGGTACCTCCTTTGGCTGAGGATGATAAAGGCCTTGTAAAGCTACAACTCCCAAGATTCCATAGCATTGATCCAGGGCAGTGAAAATGGGGTCAATTTCCATTCATTCAACAGATGCACCCTTTATTACCAGTCATGTGATATCAACTGGGATGTAAGTATTTGCATTCACGGAGTGGTAAATGAGTGGCTCCCCACTCATGCTCCCACCCAAAGAGCCCACTGAGTGACCCATCTTTACCCAGGCAGGAGAATGCAGTCTGGAAGCCAGCAAAACACATCCAGCACACCAGGGCCTGCTGGGATGCCTGGAGTTTGCGGGGACGATGGAAAATGTCCAGGACTGCCCCTCGGTACAGAAAGCGGAGATTAATCCTGGGAGGTGAAAAAGAGGAAGAAGAAAAGGTGGTCAAGGTGCGGGTCAGCCCCTCTCCCTACAAATAGCATCTCCCATTCCAGTAGGGCAGGGAATCCAGTCCGGGTTTTGATTAGCTGCAAGGGAGCTGTCCAAAGTGCTGAATCTATTCAGGAACAGGCCTTGACATCCTTCCAAGCCTAGAGTACACCTTAGCATGGATTCACTCCTCTTCAGTGGATTTCTATAGCATGCTTCTGCCAGAAATCATGCTGGAGGACCTAGAATATTGTATGTATGTATGTATATGTGTGTGTGTGTGTGTATGTGTGTGTGGGTATATATCTATATCTATATCTATATCTATCTATCTATCTATATATATATATCTTGTAAGCCACGCTGAGTCCCCTTCAGGGTGAGAAGGGCGGCATAGAAATGTCGTAAATAATAGAAATGCTCTAGAGCAGAAACAGAGAAACCTAGGCCCGGGGGCTGGATGCGACCCCTTGGGCTCTTTTCTCAGACTCTCCTCTCTCTCACTATCCTATCCTTTCTTCCTCTTCCCTCCCTCCCTCCTCCTCTTTCTTCTTCCCTTCCACCTTTTTGTCCTTCCTTTCTTCCCTCTCTCCCTTTCTCCTTCCTTCCTTCTTTGTTCTTTTTTCTTCTCTTTCCTCCCTCTTTCTCCATTCCCTTCCACCCTTTCATCCTTCTCTCTTTCCTTCCTCCTTCCCTTCCTTCCATCCTTCCTCCCTTCCTTTTGCTCTTTCATTCCTTCCCTCTTTCCCTCCCTCCTTCCCTCTTTCTCCTTCCTTCCCTTCCTCCCTTTCACCTTCCTTCTTTCTCTTCCTTCCTCTTTCCTTCTTTTTTCCTCCCTCTTCCCTCTTCTCCTTCCTTCCCTTTTCTTTCTTTCCTTCTCTCTTTCCTTTCATCCTTCTCTTCCTCCCTCCTTTCTCTTTTTGTTTCCTTCCTCCTTCCTTCCTCCTTCCCTCTCTCCATCTCCTTCCTTCCCTTTTGTCTTTCCTTCTTTCTTTCTCTCTTTCCTCCTTCCCTCCCTTCCCTCTTTTCGCCTCCCTCCATTCCCTTCCGCCCTTTCATCCTTCCTTCCTTCTCTCTTTCCTTCCTCTTTCCCTTCCTTCCATCCTTCTCTTTCTTCCTCCCTCCCTTCTCTTTTTCCTTCCTTCCTCCTTCCCTTCCTTCCTTCTCTCTTTCCTTTCTCCTTGCCTTCCTTCTCTTTTACCCTTTCATCCTTCTTTCCTTTCCTTTTGTCTTTCCTTCCTTCTCTCTTTCCTTCCTCCTTCCCTTCCTTCCATCCTTCCCTTCCACCCTTTCATCCTTCCTTCCCCTTTTGTCTTTCCTTCCTTCTCTCTTCCTCCTCCTTCCTTTCCCTTCCTCCCTTTCCCTTCCTTCCTTCTCTCTTTCCTCCTTCCTTTCCCTTCCCTTCTACCCTTTCATCCTTCCTCCCTTCTCTCCCTTCTGTCTTTCCTTTTTCTCTCTTTCCTCCCCCTCCCTCTTTCTCCCTCCCTCCATTCCCTTCCACCCTTTCATCCTTCCTTCCTTCCTTCCTTCCTTCCTTCCTTCCTTCTCTCTTTCTGAATATTTGGGAAGGAGAACATCTCACCTATGTTTCACCAGCGACTTCATCAACATGCAGAAGGTCAAGAGGCAGGAGATGACCAGCGAGGCCACAAAGCACACTGGGGAAACAGGAGAGAGCAAGAGGTGTCACTGAAACGAACACACTGGCAGGAAAAGTCAAGGGAGGGCAACCACGGGCTCCCTTTCTCGGATGGGATGAGAACTGGGCGAGGAATCCATTCTGGGTTTTAGGACTTCATCCCACGCAATAAGTAAAGCATTGGGAATTGTTGTTTTCCCCTTAAGCTTTGCAACGCCCCGTTTGGAAATGAAACGAATGATTTTCCTTCCCTCATCACACCTTTTCCCTCATTCCATTTTCTTTTCAAATTATCCATTTGTCTTCCCATCACACGGAAGACTTATTTCTCCTCCCATTTTCCTTTGATACAAAAATCCCTCTGTGTTTTCCCACGCGGAAGTACTTTTTAATGCGAGATCCCATCGACAGGATTTCTCCTCTTCGAAACCTGGAGGCAGTGGCTTCCTGGCAAAGGGTTCCCGTCATTTTTGTTAATGCCAAGGAGCCGAAATGGAGCCGATCCTGACTCTTCTCTCTTGGCAACAAAAGTACTTCCCCTGTTATTCCGGATGGAAATCGAGAGAATTCAGACCTCACTACCTCTGAGGATGCTTGCCATAGATGCAGGCGAAACGTCAGGAGAGAATGCCTCTAGACCATGGCCATATAGCCCGGAAAAACCTACAACAATCAAAGCTTTTACTTTAAAGAAAAAGGTGAACATTTGATAATAATCCAGTCAGGATATTGCAGTTTTTCTTTAAAAGTTTTTTTCCCATGTCAGGAGCAACTTGAGAAACTGCAAGTCGCTTCTGGTGTTAGAGAATTGGCTGTCTGCAAGGACGTTGCCCAGGGGACATTGCCCAGATGTTTTACCATCCTTGCGGGAGGCTTCTCTCATGACCCTGCATGCAGAGCTGGAGCTGACAGAGGGAGCTCATCTGCACTCTCCCCGGATTTGAACCTTGCAGAGTCTACACTTGGGATCTGTTGTCGACTTCTCCATTCCGGCTTGGATGGCCTTGGTTCGAATGGCTTGTTCTTGGGCTGCCAGAATCAGGCCCTCCTTTTGTCTCCTTTTTCATGCGTGTTTCTCTTCTTCTACCGTTTGTTTCACTTGAGGAACACGCACATTATTATGATTATGATTATTATGATTATGATTATTATTATTCAAAATGAAGTCAATTCCCAGTCGACTGAGGAACCATTAGGGAAAAAAGTGACACTTTAGAAACGGTGAAATACCTGGAACCCACGGATCGAGATTGTGCATGTGATGGGCTCAGTTGGTAGCCATTTCTTAAAGGTGTAGAAACGCTGGTTTTATTGCGTGTGATGAAGTCCTGACTAAGGACTAAAACCCAGAGCAGAATCATTGGAGAGGAATGCTACCCTTTGCCATTCTTCCACATGACGCACAAAGAGCCTGTGCCATCAACCGCCGGGGGTTTCAGCGAAAGGCGACAGGACCAACAACCCATCTGCCTGCCTGCTGATCGGCCTTGAATCCCCCTCCCCCTTCTTCCCGACGATCCCTTGCAGACCCCCCCCCACACACCCCCCCCCCCCACTCGCTGGGTGCCATCTGCTCCTCCGTTCAGATCTCAGAAGCCTTTGTGAATGTGCCGCATTTGCCTCCCTTTTGCTTCTTGGCAGCAGTTGCTACGTTTGCATGCGAGCAAATGGCTTGGCTTTGTAAAAAAACAAGAAGGGATGAAAGCTGGACTAATCCACCCTGACCCACATGCAACATCCCCCAAATACCAGAACCTTCCCATGTCGTGCCCAAAATCCCTTTACCTTTCCCACAGAATCCTCCATAATGCCTAAATCCTTGAGTCTAGAAACAACTTCCTTCATTATTGACAGATGTCAATAATAATAATAATAATAATAAAAACAACAGCAATAGCACAAGGACTGGAAATTTAGGATTTTGCAAAGAACGAGAAATAATAACACATTTTGGTTGTTGTTCAGTCGTCTCTGACTCTTCGTGACCTCATGGACCAGCCCACGCCAGAACTCCCTGTCGGCCGTCACCACCCCCAGCTCCTTCAAGGTCATTTAGTACAGCCAGGAAATGGATCAAGATCATACTGAGATCCATATGAGGGTTAGAGATGGCTTCTTTGTTCAAGGAGTGTGTCTACACCAGGCATGGGCAAACTCTCTGACTTGGAGGCCTCATGAAGGGCCAGAGTGGGGTGGGCAGGCTGGGAGGGAGGGAGGGGGTTCTCCCCAAGCCATTCCCTCCCTGCCCTTTCCTCCCCTTCCTCTTCTCTTTTGGAGGCAGAAAGAGAAGGAAAGATGGGAAATGGGAGATGAGAGACAGGGCCTTCTCGACGGTGGCCCCTCAGCTGTGGAAGGCCCTCCCTATAGATAGGAGATCAGCCTCCTCCCTTTTAACATTCCGGGAAAACATCCAGGTGACGTTTTTAACAAGGAGACACTATGACAGTGTTTCTCCACCTTCCTAATGCCATGACCCCTGAATCCAGTCCCTCATGGTTGTGGTGACCCCCAACCATCACATTGTTTTTGCGGCTACTTCATAACAGTCATTTTCCTACTGTTATAAATCATAATGTAATCATAATGTTATAAATCATAATGTAAACCACACCACGATCTATCTGTGGACATTGTTGTCTCAGCAACATTGGATTTGGCCCCTGTGTTCCTTCATCCGCTTGGCCACCGTCTCTTGTGGAAAGGCCTTGGCCAAAGAAGTGGACCTCGAAAAAGAGCAAGGCAGCTTACCTTCTACGGACCAGATGTAATGCTTTGCTGTGGCCAGCTCTTTGTCTCCAGGGATCCCGGCAGGATTCTCCGAAGGCACCAGCCCAAACTGGACAAAGAGAGCGGTCAGCTCCTTGGTCATCCCAGACCTCACAATCTGGATGTTGGGGACAAAGGCCACCAGGAGCAAAAGGGCCACCTGCAAAGCAAGCGGAGAGCGGTCAACCAAGAAACAAGAAATAGTAAGACCACTAGCCATCCCCTGCCACGCGTTGCTGTGGCCCAGTCGGTGTATATGTGTTTTGTGTGTTTATATTATTATTATTATTATTATTATTATTATTATTATTATTATTATTATTGTTATTTAATATTATTATATATTTTTGTATATATTCATGTTTGTGTGTGTGTGTATGTATGTATGTGTGTGTGTATATATATATGTCTGTATGTAATGTTCATTTGTGGGATTAACATAACTCTGAAACCGCTGGATGAATTGACCTGAAATTTTGACACAATACACCTAATAGCCCAACGAGTGTCCATCACTGCTAAAAACACACACAAAACCCCAGCAGAATGGACTTTAAAACCCCACAAAATAAACCATATATACATATACACATACATTCATATACACATGCACACATACATATACATACATATATACACACATATATGCATATACACAAGCACACACACATATAAACACAGAAATACACAAATATATACACAGATATACACACACATATATAAATACACAAACACACATATATACACATATACAAAAATATATGCACACAGATAAACACATATATATATATACACAAAACACATATACTCAGATTGGGCCACAGCAATGCATGGCAGGGGACGGCTAGTGTGTTTGTGTATATATATGTGTGTGTATATATATGTGTGTGTGTATATATTTGTATATTTGTGTGTTATATGTGTACATGCATATTGTGTGTATGTGTGTGCTTGTCTATATGCGTATTTGTGTGTATATGTGTGTACGTGTATATGTGTGTGCATGTGTATATGTATATGAGTATATGTGACTGTATATGTATATATTGTATACTTTTTGGGTTTTGAAGTCTGTTCCGCTGGGGTTGTGTGTGTGTGTTTAGGGGTGATGGACACTCATTGGACTGTTAAGTGTCTTGCGTCCAAATTTGGTGTTGTAAAATTATTAGTAATATTACATGTAATATAAAATATATAATTATAATTTCGTATTATTAGTAGTAGTATTATATTGTATTACATTATAATACAGTGTATATGTGTGTATGTGTGTGCATATTTGTGTATATGTGTATATATGTGGTTTTGTGCATGTGTTGTAATGTAGTTTTTTTGGCTTTTAAAGTCCCTTCCCCTGTGTTTTTCAGTGTTTTTATGAGTGTTGGTCACTCCTTGGCCTGAGAGGTGTCTTGTGTCCAAATTTGGTGTCAATTCGTCCAGTGGTTTTTGAGTTATGCTAATCCTACAAACGAACGTGACATTTTTATTTATATAGACTAGCCGTCCCCTGCCACCCGTTGCTGTGGCCCATTCTGTGTATATGTGTTTTGTGTGTGTATATATGTGTGTTTGCGTATATATGTGCTTTTGCACATGCGTTGTAATTTTTTTTTGGCTTTTTAAGTCCCTTCCGCTGCGTTTTTCAGTGTTTTTATTGGTGATGGTCACTTGTTGGCCTGAGAGGTGTATTCTGTTCAAATTTGGTGTCAATTCATCCAGTGGTGTTTGAGTTCTGTTAATCCCACAAACGAACATGACATGTTTATTTCTAGAGATTCATTTCGAGTGAGCCTGTGGGTTTGGGTTCTGGAGTGACGAGGGCCAATTCCAATCCCAGGTGAGGTTCTCCTGGAAGGTACCTGATAGACAGCAATCACAGCCATGGCCAAGGAGAGGACCAGTTTCAAGGGGAGCTGGAAGTCTGCAATCCAAAAAGCATAATGAATGATTAATTACCCCAAAAGCATTCTTGGGCTACATTTTGCCCATTCCAGAAGTTCTGCTGCTTGGGTAGACCTTGGTTTTATAGCCCCATAAAGCTCAAGCAATGACAATTCTGGGTTGTTGTTTTTGCGGGCTATATGGCCATGGTCTAGACCAGTGGTTCTCAACCTGGGGTCCCCAGACGTTTTTGGCCTACAACTCCCAGAAATCCCAGCCAGTTTACCAGCTGTTTGGATTTCTGGGAGTTGAAGGCCAAAAACATCTGGGGACCCCAGGTTGAGAACCACTGGTCTAGAGGCATTCTCTCCTGACGTTTCGCCTGCATCTATGGCAAGCATCCTCAGAGGGAGTGAGGTCTGTTGGAACTAGGAAAAAGGGTTTATATATCTGTGGAATGACCAGGGTGGGACAAAGGACTCTTGTCTGCTGGAGCAAGGTGGGAAAGGGTTGTTGTAGTTTTTTTCGGGCTATATGGTCATGGTCCAGAGGCATTTTCTCCTAACGTTTCGCCTGCATCTATGGCAAGCATCCTCAGAGGTAGTTGGGTCTGTTGGAACTAGGAAAAAGGGTTTATAGATCTGTTGAATGACCAGGGTGGGACAAAGGACTCGTGTTTGGGCCTTCCTGAGTTTGGTGGTCCCTATGTAGACTTGTCCACAGCTGCATGGTATACAATGGTAGACTCCTACTGCCTACAATGTACCATGCAGCTGTGGACAAGTCTCTTTTTAGGAACCCAAAGAAGGATTTGAGGGACAAAGGTGTGGAGAAATTCTCTGACCGGCCAGAAGATTTCCTGCTTTGGAAGAAGACCTTTCAGGGTGCCACACAGAATTTAAGACTCACCTCTGAGGAAGAACTGACTCTTATGGTCGCCTGGCTTGGTCCAGTATCAGCTCACCAGGTGAGAAGGATTTTCTCAGCTCTACCATCTACCATGTACCATGCAGCTGTGGACAAGTCTACATAGGGACCACCAAACGCAGCAGCGTTGCCCAAACACGAATCAAGGAACATGGAAGGCACTGCAGACTAACTCAACCTGAGAAGTCCACCATAGCAGAGCACCTGAGGAACCAACCTGGACACAGCAGATTATTATTGGAGAACACAGAAATGCTGGACCACTCTCACAACCACCATGTCAGGCTACACAGAGAAGCCATTGAAATCCACAAGAAGCATGTGGAGAATTTCAACAGAAAGGAGGGAACCATGAAAATGATCAAAATCTGGCTAACAGTATTAAAAAAAACTCTAAAATTACAACAGCACAACAACAGAGAGGATACAAACAAGGATATCTAATCACCTCTCAACAAATGGTTGCCCCAGGCACTGCCAGGCAATCAAATGCTAATCAAGGTGGTCAGTTGAAACATTCACCCCTAGCTCCAGCAGACAAGAGTCCTTTGTCCCACCCTGGTCATTCCACAGATATATAAACCCCTTTTTCCTAGTTCCAAGAGACCTCACTCCCTCTGAAGATGCTTGCTAGAGATGCAGGCGAAACATCAGGAGAGAATGCCTCTAGACCATGGCCATATAGCCCAAAAAATCCTACAACAACCCAGTGATTCCGGCCATGAAAGCCTTCGACAATACATTAATTACAATTCTGATAAGAAAGTGGGTCCCACAAAATGGGATGTTGCTCCTAGTCGAAATACAATGGCTCTCACTCTCAATTTGGCTTGAGGTGCAAGAATTATATTTCAGGTGCAAGAGCAACACTCTGATGCATATTGGAAGGAAGAAATGGAACAGCATGACCACTGTGAAGAACCCGTTAAGAGCCCACTGAGATATATTCTCGTGTAGTACCTGTCACTGGCATCGGCAGCACAGATCAATCACAGTCACCTTATGCTATAAACTATTTTACATTAGAAGCTACTAAACGCTCTGCACATCGTAAACTTGCTTCTTTACCGTCTGATCGTAACATTGCAAATTCACAAACTGTTATCAGTACTAGTCCACACCTCTTGCTTTCCAGAACGCACTACACTGCAGTCCATTTGTTCTATACACTTGATTTATGACCTCTCTAGGAATGCTGTTCGCTCCATGGTTCAGTTAATTCTTTCCACACAGGAATACATTACGCTCGGCACATAGCTACTGCATTCTAAACATACATACATATTTTGAAATCTACATTATAAATTGCAAACAGCTTCAACAGTACCTTCTTGAGGTGTGTAGACATAAGAACGCAAGTAATCCTGGAGCCTTGAGCGGATGCTCGGCTTGGCTATACTGCTACTGAGAAAGGAAGAAGAGAAATGAATGGACGGCAATGGAAGGACATGCATAGAATCATAAGAGTTGGAAGAGGCCTCATGGGCCATCTAGTCCAACCCCATTCTGCCAAGAAGCAGGAAAATTGCATTCACATCACCCCTGACAGATGGCCATCCAGCCTCTGTTTAAAAGCTTCCAAAGAAGGAGCCTCCACCACACTCTGGGGCAGAGAGTTCCACTGCTGAACGGCTCTCACAGTCAGGAAGTTCTTCCTCATGTTCAGATGGAATCTCCTTTCTTGTAGTTTGAGCCATAATCACCTTTCAAGAAGAGTTTGCTCCAGGCACAGTCAGCCCATTGTATGCTAATCAAGGTGGTCAGTTGAAAAGATTCACACCTAGCCCACTTACAAAAGCCTTTTGTCTCACCCTGGTCATTCCACAGATATATAAACCCCTTTTTCCCAGCTCCAGCAGACCTCACCTCTGAGGAAGCTTGCCATAGATGCAGGCGAAACGTCAGGAGAAATGCCTCTAGAACATGGCCATATAGCCCGAAAAAACCCACAAGAACTGTTTGAAGCTATTGTTCCATTGTGTCCTAATCTCCATGGAAGCAGTGAACAAGCTTGCCCTCTCCTCCCTGTGGCTTCCTCTCATGTGTTTATACATGGCTATCATATCTCCTCTCAGCCTTCTCTTCTTCAGGCTAAATATGCCCAGCTCCTTAAGCCGCTCCTCATAGGGCTTGTTCTCCAGACCCTTGATCTGCTCCCTCCTCCCTGTGGCTTCCTCTCACATATTTATACATGGCTCTCATCATATCTCCTCTCAGCCTTCTCTTCTTCAGGCTAAACATGCCCAGCTCCTTAAGCCGCTCCTCATAGGGCTTGTTCTCCAGACCCTTGATCTGCTCCCTCCTCCCTGTGGCTTCCTCTCACATATTTATACATGGCTATCATGTCTCCTCTCAGCCTTCTCTTCTTCAGGCTAAACATGCCCAGCTCCTTAAGCCGCTCCTCATAGGGCTTGTTCTCCAGACCCTTGATCTGCTCCCTCCTCCTGTGGCTTCCTCTCACATATTTATACATGGCTCTCATCATGTCTCCTCTCAGCCTTCTCCTCTCAGTTTGCACTCACATGCACAAAGCAAGAGAAGGAACTTCTCTTGAACTTCTCCCACACACACCTGACTTTAGTTTCCTGCCTTTGGGTGGAAACTCCCAAGTGTGAAATCCTTCCCATGCCTTGAATTGTTGAGTTTGTCTACAAGTCAATCTGCACACCTTGCGTTTCCTCCTCTCGGAGAAGGCAGTCCAGATCGAGAGCTAAGCAATGTTAACTCCACAGGCCTTCTTTCCGCTTTGATCCTTTGCATTTTGGGACGATGCCCAAGTTCAATGAGGGGCCTTACCTTCTTTTCGGTGGCCGTTTTGCCAAGATAGTCTTCAGGTAGTCTTTGCAATAGTCGCTCCAAGGTTCCTGAAAGAGAACAAAACCCATCACATAGAATCCTAGAATCAAAGAGTTGGAAGAGACCTCATGGTCCATCCAGTCCAACCCCCTGCCAAGAAGCAGGAATATTGCATTCAAATCACCCCTGACAGATGGCCATCCAGCCTCTGTTTAAAAGCTTCCAAAGAAGGAGCCTCCACCACTCTCTGGGGCAGAGAGTTCCACTGCTGAATGGCTCTCACAGTCAGGAAGTTCTTCCTCATGTTCAGATGGAATCTCCTCTCTTGTAGTTTGAAGTCCATTGTTCCCTTGCGTCCTAGTCTCCAGGGAAGCAGAAAGGAAGCTTGCTTCCTCCTCCTCCCTGTGGCTTCCTCTCACATATTTATACATGGCTCTCATCATATCTCCTCTCAGCCTTCTCTTCTTCAGGCTAAACATGCCCAGCTCCTTAAGCCGCTCCTCATAGGGCTTGTTCTCCAGACCCTTGATCTGCTCCCTCCTCCCTGTGGCTTCCTCTCACATATTTATACATGGCTATCATATCTCCTCTCAGCCTTCTCTTCTTCAGGCTAAACATGCCCAGCTCCTTAAGCCGCTCCTCATAGGGCTTGTTCTCCAGACCCTTGATCTGCTCCCTCCTCTCTGTGGCTTCCTCTCACATATTTATACATGGCTCATCATATCTCCTCTCAGCCTTCTCTTCTTCAGGCTAAACATGCCCAGCTCCTTAAGCTGCTCCTCATAGGGCTTGTTCTCCACACCCTGGATCATTTTAGTCGCCCTCCTCTGGACACAGCTTGTCAATATCTCCCAGCATGCCAGACTTAAATCAAGAAATAGTTTTCTGAGATCTACAGAGACACTCGCTGGAACACCTCAGCAAGCGAGAGTCCAAAAGTGGCAGACTCAAAGCCAGAACCTCAATCAATGACCGATACAAAATGAGAGACTCCCTCCTGGGCACACAGAAGATTGGGTGATTTGGAAGGCACAGAATAGGCTGCGCTCTGGGACCACGAGATGTAGAGGACATTGAATAGAATACCAAGCTTGCAAACTTTGTGTTTTGTTTGTTTGTTTGTTTTTAATGCAATACAACTGTTTGGTTCGCTCCTGACACGATAAATGAATAAATGAAGAACACAGAAACCACCATGTCAGGCTACACAGAGAAGCCATTGAAATCCACAAGAAGCAGGTGGACAATTTCAACAGAAACAAAGAAACCATGGAAATGAACAAAATCTGGCTCCCAGTATTAAAAAACTCTAAAATTACAACAGCAAAACAGCAGAGAGGAAACAAACAAGGACATCTAATCACTTCTCAAGAAAAGATTGCCCCAGGCACTGCCAGGCCATCAAATGCTAATCAAGGTGGTCAGTTGAAACATTTACACCTGGCTCCAGCAGACAAGAGTCCTTTGTCCCACCCTGGTCATTCCACAGATATATAGACCCATTTTCCTATATAGACCTCCTGGGCCATCCAGTCTAACCCCATTCTGCCAAGAAGCAGGAATATGGCATTCAAATCACCCCTGACAGATGGCCATCCAGCCTCTGTTTAAAAGCTTCCAAAGAAGGAGCCTCCACCACACTCCGGGGCAGAGAGTTCATTGCTTGCTTGAATCTTGCTGAGGTTAAAGATGACTTTCTTTTTGTGAGAAGACCGAGGCAAAGAAGGCATTAAGTAGTTCTGCCTTTTCCCTAATCCCCTGTCAGCATTGCCCCATCTTCTCCTCGAAGAGGCCCTATCGCCTCCTTGTTTTTCCTTTTTCTACTGACATAAGAAAAGAAGCCCTTTTTATTGTTTTTAATGTCCCTGGCAAGCCTGAGCTCGTTTTGTGCTTTAGCCTTGCGGACCTTTTCCCTACAGGTGTTGGCTATTTGTTTGAATTCTTCTTTGGCGATTTCTCCCTTTTCCCACTTCTTGTGCATGTCTCTTTTGTGTTTTAGCACAGTTAGAAGTTCTTTGGACATCCATGATAAATAGTGGGAAAGTGATCCCATTTGATAGTTCCTCCTGGAAAAATCCATGTGCGTGAACAAAAGAAAGAGCGAGCCCACAGAACAGCCTGTGTGATGCAGGCGGCCCATTAAAAACGCTGGATGCCATTCCCATCTGCCTCGCCAGCCAAGCAAACAGTTGCAAAGGTGCTAATTACGTGGCTGCAGACGGGGGTCTCATGAAGCAAGTGGCCCCCTCCAGTTGGAGAGACCTTCGCCAGCCCTGGCAATGGGGCACCCAAGAACACTCTGTTCCAGGCGATGCCAGGGAAAAATCCTCCCTCCTGATCCCCCGGGGTTGTGTAAACAGGCGGATTTGGCTCAATCCTCCATTCCGCCTGCAGATTTCTGAGCTGAAAGAGCAGGCATTCATGCCTCCATTGTTGGTTTTGAAGGAGGGAATGTGGGTCTCTTTCTCCAAAGGAAGATCGCAGTGCCAGCCTCGCGGGGATTATGAAGCTGGGGGCAAAGCACAATCCCCCCGCAAACTCCTTGTGTCACAATACAGTAAGACGTTGCTTTGGCTCTGAATGGACGGCACCGAAGAGGAAAATGTCTTGGGCTAAGAGGTTTATCGGATGTCCTTGAGGAAAGGAGATTGTGTTCTCATCAAACATTATCATTTTTTCCATTTGTATTTGGTACACCTATGGCAGCATTTCTCAGCCTGGGGGTCAGGACCCCTGGGGGGGGGGTCATGAGGGGGGTATCATAGGGTCACCAAAGACCAGCAGAAAGTACACTATTTTCTCTCGGTCATGCGAGTCCTGTGTGGGAAGTTTGGCCCAATTCTATCATTGGTAGGGTTCAGAAAACTCTTTGACTGTAGGTGAACTATAAATCCCAGTAACTACTACAACCAAATGTCAAGGTCTATTTTCCCAAACTCCATCAGTGTTCACATTTGGGCATATTGAGTATTCGTACCAAGGTTGGTCCAGATCCACCATGGATTCAGTCCACAGTACTCTCTGGAAGCAGGTGAACTCCAACTCCAACACTCAAGGTCAATGCCCACCAAACCCTTCCAGTATTTTCTGTTGGTCAAGGGAGTTCTGTATGCCAAGTTTGCTCCAATTTAATCATTGGTGAAGTTCAGAATGCTCTTTGATTGTAGTTGAACTATAAATCCCTGCAATCACAACTCCCATATGTCAAGGTCTATTTTCCTCAACCTCCATCAGTGTTCACATTTGGTCATATGGAGTATTCGTGCCAAGTTTGGTCCAGATCCATCATTGTTTGAGTCCACAGTATTCTCTGGATGTAGGTGAACTACAACTCCCAAACTCAAGGTCAATGCCCACCAGACCCTTCCAGTAAGTCCTTTGGCCACATCATGAGAAGACAGGAAAGTTTGGAAAAGACAATGATGCTGGGGGAAATGGAAGAAAAAAAGGAAGAGTGGCCGACCAAGGGCAAGATGGGTGGATGGTATCCTTGAAGGCACTTGCTTGATTCTGAAGGAGCTGGGGGTGGCCACGGCCGATACAGAGCTCTGGCCTGGGCTGACTAAGAGGTGACCAAGAAGTGGAAGCGACTTCTTGGTCATCTCTTGGCTTGGGCTGACCAAGAGGTGACCAAGAAGTGGAAGCAACTGAATAAATAAACAACTACAGGGCCATACAAAATCCGGATTATCTTCTTTGAACTGGATTATGTGGCAGTGTTGACTCATATAATCCTGTTAATATAATGTGGATTATTGACTTAGATAATCTGGATTATATGGCAGTGTAGAAGGTGTCTTAGATACTAACCATTATAGATTCAGCACCCTGGACAGTAACTATGCCGATCAAACTAATCCTTGGTGTTGGTTCATTCATATCAAAGCCACCATTGGATCTAGAACAGGCATGGGCAAACTTGGGTCCTTTTGGTGTTTTGGACTTCAACTCCCACCATTCCTAACAGCCTCAGGCCCTTCCTTTTCCCCCTCTTAAGCGGCTGAGGGGGAAAAGGAAGGGCCTGAGGCTGTTAGGAATGGTGGGAGTTGAAGTCCAAAACATCTGAAGGCCCACACCTGATCTAGAACCTTGGTCTGCTCTGCAGCAACACTTGAGAATGTCATTTTGGGGCGACTACAATACCCCAAACCCCCTCGTAAGCATGGCTTTGAGAACTATGCTTTCCAAAGTTGGTTTATCCACTTTGCGGCATTGCTAAACGATCGAGAATATGCAAAAACAGCTCTTTTTGGAAACAAACAAACAAACGAAAGACGGAGAAGAATCCACCCTGAAAACATTCATCTTCCCGGAAGGAGAGGCAGGCGGAAAAGAAAGAAACCCTTGCCTGTCATTTCAAAGAGCCCGCAGACGTGCCTGTCACCTTGGCATTTTGAGCCTTGCCAAGTTGGATCGCGTCTACAGTTCCCAAAGATCTGTGCTTACTCCAAATTAGAACTGATATTTCCAAGACCTTGCATAATGTGCACCTGCCTCGGGAAGGAAACAGTTGGGAGTCAGAAATGCGGGTCCTCACAAGACGGGCCCACCTGCTCTGCGGCAAAGATTGGCCTCCCGTCTCAGACTCCCCGCTGATTCCTCCGTACGAAGCCAAGTGGGTTGCAAAAATATCTCCCGAAAGAAGAAACTTTCACAGAAGGCTCTTCCAGATTGCTTGAAAGACATGTGTCATGCTGAACTCCCTCAATGTCTTCGGTGGCGCCGTGAGTTAAACCCTTGCTGACTGAAAGGTTTGAAACTGGGGAGCGGGGTGAGCTCCCATCTGTCAGCTCCAGCTTCTCTTGTGGGGACATGGAGAAGCCTCCAACAGGATGGTAAAACATTTGGGCATCTCCTGAGTAACGTCAAGTCTATTTTCCCCATACACCACCAGTCTTCACATTTGGGCAGATGGAGTATTTGTGACAAGTTTGGCCCAGATCCATCATTCCTTGAGTCCACAGTAGGTGTAGGTGGATGTAGGTGAACTACAACTCCCAAACTCAAAGTCAATTCCCACCAGACCCTTCCAGTATTTTCTGTTAGTCATGGGAGTTCTGTGTGCCATGTTTGGTTCAATTCCATGGTTGTTGGAGTTCAGAATGCTCTTTGATTGTAGGTGAACTATAAATCCCACGAATTACAACTCCCAAATGTCAAGATCTATTTTCCCCAAACTTCACCAGTGTTCACATTTGGGTATATGGCGTATTTGTGGCAAGTTTGGCCCAGATCCATCATTCCTTGAGTCCATAGTGCTCTCTGGATGTAGGTCAACTACAACTCCCAAATTCAAAGTCAATTCCCACCAGACCCTTCCAGTATTTTCTGTTAGTCATGGGAGTTCTGTGTGCCAAGTTTGGTTCAATTCCATTGTTGGTGGAGTTCAGCATGCTCTTTGATTGTAGGTGAACTATAAATCCCAGCAACTACAACTCCCAAATGACAAAATCAATCCTACCCAACCCAACCACTATTCAAATTTGGGCATATCGGGTATTTGTGCCAAATTTGGTCCAGTGAATGGAAATATATCCTGCATATCAGATATTTACATAACGATTCATAACAGGAGCACAATGATAGTTAGTCAAGTATTAATAAAAAATAGTGTGATGGTTGGGGGTCACCACAACATGGGGAACTGTATTAAGGGGTCACAACATTGGGAAGGTCGAGAAACACTGCTATAGACCAAGTATACCTTGTGATAGGCCTCCAAGATCCTTCACCTTCAGGGACAGGCTTTCCTTAACTCATTGTTTCCCATATAGATGTTTGGACTTCAGTTCCCAGAACCCCTGACAGTTGGAGACGCTGGCTGGGGCTTCTGGGAGTTGTAGTCCATAATACTCAGAAGAGCACACCTTGGGGATGGAGCCGTTCTGGAGGACCACGTTTCCTGCAAGCCCACCCTTGTCTGCCTTACCTCCTCGGCAACCACCTTCTGCTTTTGCTTGAAGCTCTTGACAAGCTGCGCCGGATACCAAAGGCTCAGAAAGAAGAGGCACAAAAGGATCGGGAGGTACGAAAGCAGCGAGTAGTATCTGTAAATCTGAGAAGAAGTCGGGCGAAGAAAAAGAATATATCCGGTCAGAAGACCCAGCTTGGAGGGCTTGGAGAGATATTGCCTTTCATCCATTTCACTAAACTAGAACATTTGAAACAAGTCACCCCAAAGTTGAGAAATCCCTCTCTCTGGGACCCTCATGGGGGCAGCCACCCATTTCAAGGCCACCTCGTCCCTCATACAGTTTGGGCCCCAAATCCCTTTCTTTTTCCTTCCCAAAATGAGAAACGTTCCAAATAAAAGTGAGATGCAGCCCCCAAAATCCAGTAACTTTGGAGGCATACAGAGACAAGGGTGGTGAGCAATTACTTATGTCTGTAGGCCAAGTATGGACAAACCCAGGCCTGGGGGCCGTAGGTGGCCCCATGGGCCCTCTTCTCAGGCCCTCCTCTCTCCCACCATCCTAACCTTCCTTCCTTCTCTCTTTCTTTCCACCTTCCCTCCCTCTTTCTTCATCCATTCTTCCTTCCCTTCCACCCTTTTGTCCTCCCTCCCTCCCTCCTTCCTTCCCTCTTTCTCCTCCCTCCCTCCCTTCTCTTTTGTCTCTTTCCTTCTTTCCTCCCTCCCTGCCTTCCCTCCCTCTTTCTCCCTCCATCCGTTCCCTCCCACCCTTTTATCCTTCCTTCCCTCCCTCCTTCCCTCTTTCTCCTTCCTTCCTTCCTTCCTTCCTTCCTTCCTTCCTTCCCCTTTTGTCTTTCCTTCTCTCTTTTCCTCCCTCCCTGCCTCCCTCCCTCTTTCTCCCTCCATCCTTCCCTCCCCCTTTTCCTTCCTTCCCTCCCTCCTTCCCTCTTTCTTTCTCCTTCTCTTCCTTCCTCCCTCCCCTCCCTCCCTCCCTCCCTCCCTCCCTTCCTTCCTTCCACCCCTTTTGTCTTTCCTTCCTTCTCTTTCCTCCCTCCCTGCCTTCCCTCCCTCTTTCTCCCTCCTTCCCTCCCCTTCCACCCTTTCGTCTTTCCTTCCTTCCCTCTTTCTTTCCCTCTTTTCCTTCCTCCTTCCCTTTCTTTCCTCTTTCCTCCTTCCTTCCTTCCTTTCTCTTTCCTTCCTTCCTCTCTTTCCTCCCTCCCTCCCTCTTCCCTCTCCTCCCTCTTCCCTCCTTCCTTCCCTTTTCCTTCCTTCCTCCTTCCCTTCTACCTTCCTTCCTTCCCTCTTCCCTTCTTCCTTCCCTCTCTTCTCCTTCTCCTTCCTTCCTTCCTTCCCTTTTGTCTTCCCTTCCTTCTCTCTTCCCTTCCACCCTTTCTTCCTTCCCTCTTCCTTCCTCCCTCCCTTCCCTTCCTCCCTCCCTTCTTTTTTTCCTTCTTCCTTTCCTCCTGGGAGATGTTTAGCTGGGAGAAGAGACTGTTGAGAGGGAACATGAGAACCATGTTTCAAGATGACTGAAAAGATGAGCTTCCTGAGAGTAAGAGTGGTTGGAAAGTGGGCTAGGCTGCCTGGGAGTCTGGTGAAGTCTCCTTCTCGGGAGGCTTTTACTCAGAGGCTGTCTATCGGGAGTGCTTTGGTTGTGCCTTCCTGCATGTCAAGGGGTAGGATTCTAGATCAGGGGTCTAATAGATGCAGTTTTCCTCTCCCGCCCACCATCTCACCCTGACCAAGGCCAACCCTTTTGGGATCCAAACATTTCTCCTCTTTCCTTCACTTTCTGCCTCCAGAAGAGAAGAGGAAGGGGAGGAAAGGGCAGCGAGAGAATGGCTTGGGGGGAACCCCTCCCTCCTGCCCCCCTCACCCCACTCCAGCCTGCCATGTGGCCCCCAAGTTAGAAAGTTTGCCCATGCCTGCTGTAGGGAAATCCATACTTTTCCCACATGAAAACTGGGAGACATATTGCCAAGCAGCATTAGATTCTATGATTCTAAGATGCTGCTTGGAAGAACACATAAGCCATGGGATGTTGCTCAGGTTTGCTTTGTCCGAATCTACTGGAAAGAGCAAAATTCTACTTCTACCTTCCCTCTCCCACATCCTGAATTAACTGAGTGCAATGAACTCGGGTGCCTTAATTTAGTTTGCAGAAATTGGAGGAAACTGTGAACTTGGAGAGGTTGGTAGGTTGCGTCACTTTGCATCTGAACTGATTCTACGAGCTATGTTTATCATGTCGAATTCAGTTTGCCGCACACGAAACAAGCCAAGGACAAAAGCAGAAGGCACAGGAAGGAACCAGGACACGTCCAAAGCCATTGGAAACATGGGACGGCAGAGGATGAATCAATAAGTGCCAATAAGTGGAAGCAAACGCAGCCAGACTTGAATCATAGCATCCCAAAATCACAACAGAGTTGCAAGAGGCCCAAGCACAGAGTTGGAAGGGACCGCAAGGGCCACCCAGCCCAACCCTCTGCCATGCAGGAAAACCCAACTGAAGTCCAGATGGCCTTCCATCCTCTGCTTAGAAACCCCCAGAGGAGGAGGCTGCCCCGCCTTGGCTCCCCAAGACCCCTCCTTGCTGCCTTTACCTTGGGCGACTGAGGGCACTCCACCTTCTGCCAGAGGTAAACCACGCCGTGGCACCAGGACAGCAAGCAGCCCAAGAGGGACCCGGCTCTGTGTCGGACGGTAGCGCATGCAAGTAAGGGGTAGTAGAAGGCAGGGTAATAGAGCAAAGCCAGGATCTTCCAGTACTCTAGGGAGGGGGTCAAGGAGAGAGGAGAAAGAAGGGCAACGGTTAAGAGCGTAGTAGGAGGACTGCCACACCAGCCGCACGGTTGCTCAGGCCATGCCAACCGCATGCAAGGCAAAGACAGCGAGGTGGGCTTCCCACTTTCCCAACTCATCCCGTGATTATTTATTAACAGATTGGCTTTGGTGGAACTTGTAAGTAACTCATAACCAATAACTAATAACTTATCTCCCAGAAATGTTACTGCATTAAGGCACAGGAACCCCTCCACATTGTCTATAAGGTTAATGACATCCCCCATCTTTCTCTCTCCCGTGTGACTCAGTGCGAGTATCTGCCGATGTTGTATGGGACTGTCTGGTGACTCTAGTTGTTTACAATGACAAGCTCAAAGTGGATGTTTGCACATTTTGTAAATGTTGTCATGGTGAAGATTAAAGCCTTCAGATATTTTGGATGAAAGTCTGAATCCGTGAGTTTGCTCAACGGTGTGTCAGATACTGGTTGTTGGACTCTGATGAGAGATGGGCTGAAGGATGTGTTTGCTGTGAAAGGACTTGGCTGTGTTGTTGCTCGCTTCTGGGTCACTTGCTAGTATCCAGAGGGCAGCCGTTCAGGGAGGTCGTGATTTGGAAACTAGAAATCATCCCACAAGCTGTTGTAGTAACCTTTTCTCTGCTAGGAAGGGAACTGGACATTAACACTTGTTTTTGCAAACTTCATAACTTTGTTTCATAGAATAATAGAATCCTAGAATCCTAGAGTGGGAAGAGACCTCCTGGGCCATCATCCAGTCCAACCCCATTCTGCCAAGAAGCAGGAATATTGCATCCAAAGCACCCCTGACAGATGGCCAGCCAGCCTCTGTTTAAAAGCTTCCAAAGAAGGAGCCTCCACCACACTCCGGCGCAGAGAGTCCCACTGCTGAACGGCTCTCACAGTTAAGAAGTTCTTCCTCGTGTTAAGATGGACTCTCCTCTCTTGGAGTTTGAAGCCATTGTCCCATTGCGTCCTAGTCTCCGGGGAAGCAGAAAGGAAGCTTGCGCCCTCCTCCCTGTGGTTTCCTCTCACATATTTATACATGGCTATCATATCCCCTCTCAGCCTTCTCTTCTTCGGGCTAAACATGCCCAGCTCCTTAAGCCGCTCCTCATAGGGCTTGTTCTCCAAACCCTTGATCATTTGAGTCGCCCTCCTCTGGACACATTACAGCTTAGAGTCAATGTCTCTCTTCAATTGTGGTGCCCAGAATTGGACACAATGTGATTCCAGGTAAAGTGGTCTGACCAAGGCAGAATAGAGCATGGGGAGCAGGACTTCCCTAGATCTAGACACTCTGCTCCTCTTGATGCAGGCCAACATCCCATTGGCTTTTTTTGCTGCCACATCCCATTCCTGGCTCATGTTCCCCTTCCTCCCCACGAGGACTCCAAGATCTTTTCCACACGTCCTGCTCTCGAGCCAGGCCTCATCGTCCCCCATTCTGTCTCTTTGCATTTCGTTTTTTCTGCCTAAGTGGAGTCTCTTGCATGTGTCCCTCTTGAACTTCATTTTGTTAGTTTTGGCCCATCATCTCTCTCATCTGTCGAGATCCCTTTGAGTCCTGCTCCTGTCCTCTGGAGTCTTGGCTCTCCCTCCCAATTTGGTGTTGTCTCCAAACTTGATGATCCTGCCTTCTAGCCCTTCATCTAAGTCATTAATGAAGATGTTGAACAGGACCGGGCCTGGACGGAACCCTGCGGATGGCACTCCACTCATCACTTCTTTCCAGGATGAAGAGGAGGAAGCCTTAGGGAGAATCACCCTCTGCGTTCGTCCACTTAACCAATTCCAGGTCCACCTTTCCGTAGTTGTGCCTCGCCCACCTTGGACTAGTTTCCTTGCCAGAAGGTCATGGGGGACCTTGTCGAAGAAGAAGGCCGTCTTGAAATTCAGACACGCTCCATCCACGGCATCATTCCCCGCATCTACCCAGCTTGTCACTCTATCCAAAAAAGAGTTTGGATCCATGGATGTCTTCAAAGCATGGGATGCTGCACCAAACAAAGAAAGAAGGGTGGGCAGAGGCCCGGCCAAGGCTTACCTCGAGACTGTGTGGAAGACTCGGAGATGAATGGCAGAGGGTCCTTATCCAGAACCAAGACACACAAGGAGGAGAAGAGGATGCCGAAGACGGCGACCGAGGGGCCACGGCTTCCTTCTTCTTCCAAGAAGTGCACAGGACTACAGCAACCGGAAAAGCAGAAAGACAGGCATGAGAAGAGAAGGGCCATACGACCGGTGCACTTGTGGAACCAGGATCCATTTATGTATTTATTTATTATTTCAGATATTTGTACCCTGCGCTTCTCAACCCCCCGGGGGAACGAGGGACTCAGGGCAATGCCTCCAATGTACATCTAATAAAATCCGTAATAAAATCCAATAATTACATACATTTAAAACATTAAATGACATTAATGAATTAAAATCTGGTGGCCTTGTTTGAGCCAAATTCTGTAGTGAGAGTCTCCATCAAGCATGTCCAGAGTCAATTTCCATAGCGACTGTCATCAACATCATTGAAGGCCTGGCCCCACATCCACCTTTTTCACTTCTTTCTAAAGGAAAGGTGCGGTGTCAATAATCTAATTTCTCCGGGGAATGAATTCCACAGGTGGGGAGCCACCACCATGAAGGCCCCGTCCTTCATCCCCGCCAAGCGCATTTACGACAGAGGTGGGACGTAGAAGGAGATACATTCGGACAGGTACGCTGGGCCAGAACTGTATAGGGCAGTGGTTCTTAACCTGGGGGTCGGGACCCCTGAGGGGGTCGTGAGGGGTTGTCAGAGGGGTCGCCAAAGACCATAAGAAAACACAGTATTTTCTGATGGCCATGGGGATTCCATGTGGGAAGTTTGAGCCAATTCTATCATTGGTGGCATTCATAATGCTCTTTAGTTGTATGTGAACTATAAATCCCAGCAACTATAACTCCCAAATGTCAAGATCTATTTTCCCCAGACTCCACCAGTGTTCACATTTGGGCATATTGAGTATTCGTGCCAAGTTTGGTCCAGATCCACCATTGCATGAGTCCACAGTGCTCTCTGGATATATGTGAACTACAACTCCCAAACTCAAGGTCAATGCCCACCAAACCCTTCCAGTGTTTTCCATTGGTCATGGGAGCCAAGTTTGGTTCAAATCCATCGCTGGTGGAGTTCAGAATGCTCTTTGATTATAAGTGAACTATAAATCCCAGCAACTACAACTCCCAAATTACAAAATCAATCCTCCCCCAACCCACACTAGCATTCACATTTGGGTGTATTGGGTATTTGTGCCCAGTTTGGTCCAGTGAATGAAAATGCATCCTGCATATCAGATATTTACATTATGATTAATAACAGTAAATTGCAGATATGAAGTAGCAATGAAAACAATATTATGGTTGGGGGTCACCACAACAGGAGGAACTCTATTAAGGGGTCACAGCATTAGGAAGGCTGAGAACCACTGTTCTAAAGGAAAGGAGGGGTGTCAATAATCTAATTTCACCAGGGAATGAATTCCACAGGCGGGGAGCCACCACCGAGAAGGCCCTGTCCCTCATCCCCGCCAAGCGCATTTATGACAGAGGTGGGACGTAGAAGGAGATACATTCGGACAGGTATGCTGGGCCAGAACCGTATAGGGTTTTATAGGCCAAGACCAGCACTTTGAATTGTGCTCGACGAGGGACAAGGCCTTCTCGGTGGTGGGATTCACTTCCTGGAGAAATTAGATTATCCATGTCCCTTCTTTCCATTAGAAAGAAGCTAAAAACGTGGACGTGGGACCAGGCCTTTGGGTAATCTTGCTGACCATGACAGTGACAATGACGACAGTCGCTATGGAAATGGACGATGGTTTCACTCATGCATGGAAAAATGCACCATCTTTGTCGGCCACGGCTCAACGCGATGGGATCTGGAGTCAGGTGTACCTCAACAGTCCAGGAGCTCCATTCCAACAACTTTGGTAGAGTTTCTTGCGCTTCACCAAGAGAGAGAGAATCAGCAGAATGATCAACTGGAGGGAACAGGAAAAGAAAGAGAAGGTGTTATCAATCAGAGATCCTGACAGACAATACGTTAGAATGGAGGCGGTAGAACAACCAAAGAAACTGTGACCTCCTATGATGATGGACCTGAACCACACTTGGCACACAGAAACCCCATGACTAACTCAACCTACTGGAGGGGTTTGAGGGGACTGACTCACCACAGTGGGAGTTGTAGTTTACCCTACAGCCAGAGAGTACACTGAACCCCACTGGTGATGCATTTAGAGCCAACTTGCCCAACATAGCAAGCTTTCAGCACTGATGGGAGTTTCAGGGGGTTAACATGGCATGATGGGAGTTGTTGTTCGCCCATAACCTTATGCAAGCACGCTCCCCTGAGGCAGGCCGTTCTTCTGTTTCCGCCATCTGCTTCTCTGGCCCTGGAACTCAACAAAGAAGCTCCTGTTTTGTAGCAGGTTTCCTATGAGGCGGGTGAGGTGGTCGTCCTTGGTGATATTATACATTTTTCTCAGGAGGTGCAATTAGCTCCTGTGTTGTCGAAGGCTTTCATGGCCAGAATCATTAGGTTGCTGTGAGTGATGGCACGATCATCAGCATATGTGAAGCTCTCTGTCCCTTCTGGCAGTGGCTGGTCATTTGTGTAGATGTTGAACATGGATGGAGCAAGCACGCTCCCCTGAGGCAGGCCGTTCTTCTGTTTCCGCCATCTGCTTCTCTGGCCCTGGAACTCAACAAAAAAGCTCCTGTTCAGTAGCTGATTTCCTTGAGTGGTGATGGCACAATCATCAGCATAGATGAAACTCTCTGTCCCTTCTGGCAGTGGCTGGTCATTTGTGTAGATGTTGAACATGGATGGAGCAAGCACGCTCCCCTGAGGCAGGCCGTTCTTCTGTTTCCGCCATCTGCTTTTCTGGCCCTGGAACTCAACAAAAAAGCTCCTGTTTTGTAGCAGGTTTCCTGTGAGGCGGGTGAGGTGGTCGTCCTTTGTGATATTATACATTTTTCTCAGGAGGTGCAATTAGCTCCTGTGTTGTTGAAGGCTTTCATGGCCAGAATCTTTGGGTTGCTGCGAGTGATGGCATGATCATCAGCATAGATGAAACTCTCTGTCTCTTCTGGAAGTGGCTGGTCATGTGTGTAGATGTTGAACATGGATGGAGCGAGCACGCTCCCCGGAGGCAGGCCACTCTTCTGCATTCATACTGCATAATGAATGCAGTCTGAAACTACTTTAACAGCGATAGCGTAATGTTATGGAATTCTTGGAGTTTGAAGTTGTACAAGGACTTGATCCTTCCTACCTCTGAGGATGCTTGCCATAGATGCAGGCGAAACGTCAGGAGAGAATGCCTCTAGACCATGGCCATATAGCCCGAAAAAAACCTACAACAACCCAGTGATTCCGGCCATGAAAGCCTTCGACAATGCATTGACTTGATCCTTCTCTGCCAAAGAGTATCGGTGCCTCACCAAACTACAAATCCCACAATTCCATTGCATGCAGCCATGCCAGTTCAAGTGGTATCAAGCTGAATTTATTCACTCTTTGTCTTTGATTGTTGTGCTTTCTCATTGCAAAAGTGGCTCACATTGCTGTGTGTGTGTGTGTGTGTGTGTGTGTGTGTGTGTTTTCAAAGCGAGGCAACATCCTCAGCGAGGCGGGCTGCCATTCCTCGCGGTGCAGCTGTTCCAATAACATGTTTTAAAAACAGAACGGTTTTGAGAACTCTGCAATGCGTGTGATCCTCTCGTCCTGTTTTTAGCGAGCGTTTGAGCAACTGTCAGGCGTGGAAGGCGAAAGCAAACAAACACAATCCCGTTTGAGGCCCAGGAGCCAAGCTGAGGCCTTTTGTGCAAAAATAGCCGCGTTCACACCATTCACTCTGTTAAAAGCAGCACGCAAAAATAGGACTGGGAAGTTTGGCAAGTTGCAAAGCGGGTTCTTCGAAAGGCCCTTCCTTCACGTTGTGGGGTTCTTGCCAGTCATTTCTGACTTGGGGAGACCTTGATCTCCAGGGTCACACTCCAATGCTCAAACCAGATTGGCTCCCATTTCTGGTTCAATGCTATGGAATCTTGGAGCTCGAGTTTGGTGACTCTTTGGCTTACTTAGGCGATCCCTCGTAGTCCGAGGATGATGGTCCTCCAAGTGTAGTATCTGTAGGTGATCGTGGAGCCCTCTTCTTGACCTGGTTTCCAGGTGGAAGGCGGTCTCGGTTGGGGTTAGCTTGATGCGCCTTCTTCCTCTTGGCACGTTTCTCTCTTTCGCCCTCCATTCGTGCCTCTTCAAATTCTGCAGCACTGCTGGTCACAGCTGATCTCCATCTGGAGCGCTCAAGGGCCAGGGCTTCCCAGTTCTCAGTGTCTATGCCAGAGTTTTTAAGGTTGGCGTTGAGGCCATCTTTCAATCTCTTTTCTTGTCCGCTAACATTACATTTTCCGTTCTTGGGTTCGGAGTAGAGCAACTGCTTTGGGAGACGGTGGTTGGGCATCCGGACAACGTGGCCTTCGGTCCAGCGGAGTTGATGGCGGAGGACCATCGCTTCAATGCTGGTGGTCTTTGCTTCTTCCAACACACTCACATTTGTCCACTTGTCTTTCCAAGAGATTTGCAGGGTTTTCTGGAGGCAGCGCTGATGGAATCGTTCCAGGAGTTGCATGTGACGTCTGTAGACAGTCCACGTTTTGCAGGCATAGAGCAGGGTTGGGAGGGGAATAGTTTTGTAAACAAGCCCCTTGGTCTCCCTACGGATGTCCCAGTGTGCAAACACTCTCTTCTTCATTTGGAAAAATGCTGCACTCGCAGAGCTGAGGTGGTGTTGCATTTCGGTGTCAATGTTGATGTCTGTAGACAGTCCACGTTTCGCAGGTGTAGAGCAGGGTTGGGAGGGGAATAGCTTTGTAAACAAGCCCCTTGGTCTCCCTACGGATGTCCCAGTCCGCAAACACTCTGCTTCATTCAGAAAAAAGCTGCACTCACAGAGCTCAGGCGGTGTTGTATTTCGGTGTCAATGTTGATGTCTATAGACAGTCCATGTTTTGCAGGCGTATAGCAGGGTTGGGAGGACAATAGCTTTATAAACAAGCCCCTTGGTCTCCCTACGGATGTTCCGGTTCTCAAACACTCTCTGCTTCATTCGGAAAAATGCTGCACTCGCAGAGCTCAGGCGAAGTTGTATTTCGGTGTCAATGTTGACTTTTGTGGAGAGGTGGCTGCCAAGGGAGCGGAAATGGTCGACATTTTCTAATGTTACATCATTAAATTGCACCTACCGAGACTGGGGCCATGCAGGCGTGATAGATATCCAAAGGGATGGTTGGGTAGCAGTCCGGGATAATTTCAGGTGTCATGCTAGAAGGAAAAGAAACACAAACACAATTTTAAAAAGGTAGCAGAAACCCTTAAATTCCTTAAAGGGCCGACCCCCCTTTCTCATAACACAACTGTTTGATGGATTTCTAGTTTTCTGACTTCTTTGGTCTCATTTTGAATAGCTGAAACGCCTCTTCTGTGTCCACTGGCATGTCAACAGTTGGAAAAACATACTGTTCAAGCTCATATGTAATCTATAGATATCAACTCCCATTAACCCCCCCCCCCCACACACACACACAAGTTTAGGATCAGCATTGCTCAGGTTTGCATTTTGTAATTATATTTATTAGTAAAAATAATAGTGTTATGATTGCTGCGATACACTCTTATCATCAGACTGAAACACAAAGCAGTCCTTTCTCTGTCCCTCGGGTAATGAGCACACCTGGAAGATTTAGGCTCCACGTGGCTTTTTTCCTACAACCCTCTAGTGACCTCTTGGGGTAACAGCTGGGTCTTTCCCACGATCCTCTAGTGACCTCTTGGGATAAAAGTTGGCTCTTTCCTGTGACCCAGAAGTGACGTCTTGGGATAACAGCTGGGTCTTTCCCATGACCCTCTAGTGACCTCTTGGGATAAAAGTTGGCTCTTTCCCATGACCCTCTAGTGACCTCTTGGGGTAACAGCTGGGTCTTTCCCATAACCCTCTAGTGACCTCTTGGGATAAAAGTTGGCTCTTTCCTGTGACCCAGAAGTGACCTCTTGGGATAACAGCTGGGTCTTTCCCATGACCCTCTAGTGACCTCTTGGGATAAAAGTTGGCTCTTTCCCGTGACCCTCTAGTGACCTCTTGGGGTAACAGCTGGGTCTTTCCCATGACCCTCTAGTGACCTCTTGGGATAAAAGTTGGCTCTTTCCTGTGACCCAGAAGTGACCTCTTGGGATAAAAGTTGGCTCTTTCCCGTGACCCTCTAGTGACCTCTTGGGATAAAAGTTGGCTCTTTCCCATGACCCTCTAGTGACCTCTTGGGGTAACAGCTGGGTCTTTCCCATAACCCTCTAGTGACCTCTTGGGATAAAAGTTGGCTCTTTCCTGTGACCCAGAAGTGACCTCTTGGGATAACAGCTGGGTCTTTCCCATAACCCTCTAGTGACCTCTTGGGATAAAAGTTGGCTCTTTCCCATGACCCAGAAGTGACCTCTTGGGATAAAAGTTGTCTCTTTCCTGTGACCCAGAAGTGACCTCTTGGGGCAACAGCTGGGTCTTTCCCATGACCCTCTAGTGACCTCTTGGGATAACAGCTGGGTCTTTCCCATGACCCTCTAGTGACCTCTTGGGATAAAAGTTGGCTCTTTCCCGTGACCCTCTAGTGACCTCTTGGGGTAACAGCTGGGTCTTTCCCATGACCCTCTAGTGACCTCTTGGGATAAAAGTTGGCTCTTTCCTGTGACCCAGAAGTGACCTCTTGGGATAACAGCTGGGTCTTTCCCATAACCCTCTAGTGACCTCTTGGGATAAAAGTTGGCTCTTTCCCGTGACCCAGAAGTGACCTCTTGGGATAAAAGTTGGCTCTTTCCCGTGACCCTCTAGTGACCTCTTGGGGTAACAGCTGGGTCTTTCCCATGACCCTCTAGTGACCTCTTGGGATAAAAGTTGGCTCTTTCCTGTGACCCAGAAGTGACCTCTTGGGGCAACAGCTGGGTCTTTCCCATGACCCTCTAGTGATCTCTTGGGAGAAAAGTTGGCTCTTTCCTGTGACCCAGAAGTGATCTCTTGGGGTAACAGCTGGGTCTTTCCAGTGAAAATCTACTGGGAGCCCTCCTGGAAAATACATATATGTGTGTGAATATATAGGCAGGGGCCCTAGTGGCACAACGGGTTAAACCGCGGCTGAACTTGTTGACCGAAGGTTGGTGATTTGAATCCAGGAAGCAGGGTGAGCTCCCTCTGTTAGCACCAGCTTCTGCCAACCTAACAGTTTAAAAGCATGCAGATATGAGTAGATCAAGAGGTACTGCTTCTGCAGGAAGGTAATAGCGCTCCATGCAGTCATGCTGGCTACAAGACCTTGGAGGTGCCTACGGACAATGCCGGCTCTTCAGCTTGGAAATGGAGTTGAGCGCCACCCCTGAGAGTCAGACACGACCAGACTTAATGCTATTATATTTAAGCAAAGACGGACAGATGGGTGTCAAGAGCGCAAAGCCGGTTCCTGGGAGTTGGAGGGTACCTGCATTATGTTAATAGCAGTCAATATGTATTAAAATTAATGGGAACTAAAAAAGAGCAATGAAATTAATGGAGGGAAGCGAAGAGAGCTGAGACTGAAGGCACTCAATATGCACAACACCGTTTGAGAATGGCCAAGGGAGACGGAGAAGAGTCGGGAAACAGAGCAGAACGGATAAGACACGCGTTCAGGGGAGTCCCAGCAGATGTTCCGGGGAACCAGGGGATCTAATTTCGTGACGCCAGGTTTGAGATAGGTATATTCTGACCAAATTAAAATGGCGTGCATCGACATTGTAGAATTAATGCAGCGTGACACCTTAACAGACTCAGTGCTATGGAATCCTGGAAGCAGTAGTTTCACAAGGTCTTCAGCCTTCTCTGATGCCTCTTCGAAGTTCAAATCCCAAGATTCCATAGCACTGAAAACACTATAATCAACTCCTTGAATAATCACATCTGCAAAAGCGAAACCCACAGGCATATTTTGTGTGTGTGTGTCAGACGCGACTTGAAAAACTGCAAGTTGCTTCCGGTGTGAGAGAATTGGCTGTCTGCAAGGACATTGCCCAGAGAATGCCCAGATGTTTTACCATCTTTTCATGTCCCCTTTGCATGGGAAGCTGGAGCTGACACATGGGAGCTCACCCCATCCTGCGGATTCGAACCACCGATGTTCAGGTCAATGGGTTGTTGCAGGTTTTTTCAGGCGATATGGCCATGGCCTAGAGGCATTCTCTCCTGACATTTTGCCTGCATCTAGAGAGCCGTCATTGTCCCTAGACACCTCCAAGGTCATGTGGCCGGCATGACTGCATGGAATGCCAATGCGGCACCTATTGATCTACTCACATTTGCATGTATTCAAAATGCTAGGTTGGCAGAAGCTAGGGCTAACAGCAGGAGCTCACCCCGCTCCCTGGATTCAAACCACTGACCTCTCAGTCAGCAAGTTCAGCAGCTCAGCGGTTTAACCTGCTGCACCACTGGAAGCTCCCATTTTATCCTCGGTTTATCCTTGCTCTAAATCTAAATGGATTTCAACCAATGCTCTTTATCTATGGATGGTTTCGGTTTGGGATAACAACATTATTGTCGAAGGCTTTCATGGCCGAAATCACTGGGTTGTTGTAGGTTTTTTCGGGCTATATGGCCATGGTCTAGAGGCATTCTCTCCTGACGTTTCGCCTGCATCTATGGCAAGCATCCTCAGAGGTAGTGAGGTCTGTTGGAACTAGGAAAAGGGTTTATATATCTGTGGAATGACCAGGGTGGGACAAAGGACTCTTCTCTGCTGGAGCTAGGTGTGAATGTTTCAACTGACCACCTTCATTAGCATTTGAAGGCCTGGCTGAGCCTGGGGGAATCTTTTGTTGAGGGGTGTTAAGCTGTGCTTGGTTGTCAAAGGCTTTCATGGCTGGAATCACTAAGTTCTTGTGGGTTTTTTCAGGCTCTATGGCCATGGTCTAGAGGCATTCTCTCCTGACGTTTCGCCTGCTGCATCTCTGGCAAGCATCCTCAGAGGTAGTGAGGTCTGTTGGAACTAGGAAAAAGGGTTTATATATCTGTGGAATTATGACCAGGGTGGGACAAAGAACTCTTGCCTGTTGGAGCTAGGTGTGAACATTGCATGTTTTCAAAGTGCTAGGTTGAGGGAAGGAATACGCCTAACCTCACAATCGTGTTAAAATACCAAATATGGATTGTCGATGTTTCAATCCCAGGTGACAACGGAATTGAAGAGAAACAACTGGAAAACCTGACACGATATGAGGATTTAAAGATTGAACTGCAAAGACTCTGGCACAAGCCAGTCAAGGGGGTCCCAGTGGTGATCGGCACACTGGGTGCAGTGCCTCAAGACCTTGGCCTGCACTTAAAACACAATCAGTGCTGACAAAATTACCATCTGCCAGCTGCAAAAGACCACCCTTTGCCGATACATCACACAATCCTAGACACTTGGGATCGAATACAACAGCCAGCAGAGTGATCTTGTTTGCTGTGGACTCATCTTCTTGTGTTTCTAATAATAATAATAATATCCAATACAACAGCCAGCAGAGTGTCTGCTGTGTACTCATCTTGTTGTGTTTCTAATAATAATAATAATATAATAATAATAATAATAATAATAATTCGTCCTAGACACTTGGGAAGTGTCCGATGTGTGATCCAACACAACAGCCAGCAGAGTATCTGCTGTGGACTCATCTTGGTTGGTTTCTAACAACAACAACAACAACAACAACAACAACACAACAGCCAGCAGAGTGTCTGCTGTGGACTCCTCTTGTTGTGTTTCCAATAATAATAATAATAATAATAATAATAATAATAATAATAATAAGTTTTAATTATGCTGTAACTCGCCTTGAGCCACGAGGAGAGGCTGTTAAGAAAGAAAATTATTATTATTATTATTAGGCAGTGTTTATGGTGTCATCACTGGAATTAGTCAACACACTGAGTTACTTGTGTGGATGGGGCGGGGAGCAAAATCCTCCCATTTGAATCACGAAAAAGGCTTGGATTTGGAGGGAGGATAGTGTTGTGGCTGAGATGTTCCCTGATGATGAGGATGATGGGATTCAGATTCCTGGCTCTTTTTCTGTGCCTCAGATCTCTGGGCCTGCTTCTAGGTCTTTTTCTGAGGCTCCCACAGACAGTGCAACAGAGTCAACACAGCGGTTCTCAGGGGAAATGAATTTTAACGAAGGAGATAGCGAACAGGTGGGGAAGCTTTTGCCTCCTTCCCACGCTGATACTGAAAGTGCAGAAAGCCTTGACAGTGACCTGTCCCGGC